CAATTGGAATTTTTTAGCGGAACGAATGTCGTCACACCAACTGCAAGTACTACCACCCGCCGAAGCACCACACAGAGGCTGTTCTAAAGCGGGGCGATATGACAAAGAAAAGCTCCACAAGCCAGGGGGCGCAAATGGCGGCTGTGAGTGCTCTTTTTATTCAACCGCCTTTCTAGCGCACAAATCTGTCTGGTGCCTGCACTCGTAGTGGCGCACGTGGAGTGCGAGACTCCTCTCGGTTGTGACAAGCTCACTCCCTTTTTGTCTCTTGCCGCATTTACTCCTAGTGCACTTTGCGCAGATCGGTAGATGACTGTGCCAAACATTGCTTTACTAGGTACTTGCTCACCTTCACATCTAGCAGATGTCAAGCTATTTACATAATGGTTTGATGGGATCACCAAACTACTCTGAAGGAGTAAATTCTTAATCCTGGAAGAAAGAATGCTAACTAATTTAACTCTATCTACAGCAGTCTTCTTTTTACCTTGAATAGGGCAAATTTTCTAAAATAACCGTTATTGCATCACACTATCCTAGTAAAGAGTTTATGGCCTCGAGTCGGTCACATAAATGTTTACCTCTGGTCGGTGTCGATCCGAGCTAACATTTTAGGAGTTAAACAACTACAACCTTAAACAGCTGGTTGATGGCCTTATACCAACAAGGCCGAGCAACGTGCATTAACGTGGGTGTGGAGGAAGAGAACTGGGGCATTCCCTTGCACAGGGATTCCGGATTAGTGGCCGAAAAATAGTAGTACCCTTCTGCGGCTGCACTAACACGTGGATCCACTACATTCCTTGGAGCTTTGCTGCCTCTCACGCACACGCGCGTGCGTGCGGCAGGAAACAGATAGCCCGGTGTTTCTCTCTCCTCTCGCCTTTGTTGTGTGTGCGAGTGAACGCACGCTTGTGTGGCATTATCACCATCATCAACCAGGCATTATGGGCCTCTCCACGTTTGCGAGCTAGTGTCTATGCCTATCGACCTCGATGGCGCGAGCCCTTACGCACCGAAGCACATGCCTTTCACCAATTAGTCTGCGCGCGAGCTTGAACGCTGTCGTGCGCACACATATAAAGCAACGAGATGTGCGCTCATGCATAAACCACGTCTTCCGATGCAACCACAGACATCTCTGGCGGGTCTCTGCTGGCCCAGTGGTGCCATGACCCAGTCGTCTCTCATTCTGAACCCCGCAGCGCAGGCCAGCCCCGCAGTTACCCTCGCGATGCTCGCAGCAATGCGAGGCACTAGTACTCCTAGTGCTACGCTTTACTCGCCTGCCGCCGCCACCTCTATGTACACCGCCCTCCCCGACTCCACCAATTTGGCCTCTCTCATTTCCGGCTACTATCCCTTTTCGGCCTCGGCCTCTTCTAACTCTCCCAACGCCGCCGCCGCTACTAGTGCCTACAACCCCGGTGACGTAAGTGATTTTAACCCTATTTCCGATCCCTCGCATCCTACTAATCTCTGGGTATTGCAAATTTTGATGTGAGTGATGTCTTCCTTGGGATCTCAATCACCGACTTATTTTAGGTTGATATTTCTGACGTTCAGTCGAGCTCACTCAGTCATTCCTAATTGAATTGCACGATGTTACTTCCCTCCTCTTTCCTTATACTCCGCTTCAAAGTAGTCATTCACTCATCATATTCGGCCTGTTTATAGCTTTTTTTGAGTGTACCAAAGCTCTTTTTCGTGTGTAAACCTGCTCGCGACCGACTTGGGTGCCCTTGCTCTGCTTTGTCCACGCATTCTGAGTAGGCGTTGGAACCTTTTTTTGAAAATACGTAGTTGGGTATGTTCCACTTGTTACTCAAATCGATTCAAATAAAGTTATTGTCAGATTGAGCATGCACGAATTGTATGAGCAAGCAGCCCCTGAATAATGCCATGCTCCTCCTCTTCCTCATTGAATAGGCCCTACTACTGCTCATGCCATCATGAATACGGAATATTTGCTGGGTAAGTCGATCCTGCAACATAAACACCCGCAGGCTGCCGCTACGCCACTTGCTACCTACACACACAGTCTCCAGGTCTAGTTGCAGCAGCCGCAGTATAAATCGTATCTCCTTGTATGTGCCCGACTACATCAGTGTATGTAATTAACGCCTGTAAACCGCCTGTTAGCGGCTGATTTTTGCGCGTGTGTATGTCTATACATTAATCTGTTGTCATTTTGACGTATCCGCGTCTTTATCTCACTTCTCTACCACCATCCTTTTCTGCTTTTTCCGCTACTGTTTTTGTTGTCTTTGTCGCTGTTTTCGTTTTATGCCACTCACTCCACTAAATTAAAAGCGTATAACGCTCCTGGTGCGTATCCACTTCCTATTGAAATTGTACGCTTGAATTACCACATCTCATCTACCGTGACACTCATCCAATGCTTTCAATTAATTTTCAAAAAGCATGCTTTTAAACTAAACATACTTTCGAGCTTGACGGCCCTAGTTGTGTTTCGTCGTCAGGATCTGGTATCTTGACATCGAATATGAGCCGAACACTAAGGGGATGATTGAAGTCAGTTGCTTGAAGGTGTCAAAGCCTCGAAGTTCCGTTTTCAATTGATTTAACGATGGAGAGTTCTCATTCCGCTAGTCGTAGTTTGGTTATATGCTTATTCCTTTTATCCAACATTGTAGTACACGTGTATCTTCGTTAAAAATCTTCCGTGCTTAACGCATGAATGTGATTGCAATTTTGCAATGAAACAAAGGTAGTCTTTAAAAATGCATTTGTGCGGGTTAGAGGTGTTGGTTTCACCACCCCATTTCATAAGCAGACTCCTATCCAAGGGTGTTTGTGTGTGCAGTCGCTAATTGATTTAACGTGTGCCGTGGCGTGTGCACGCGTGTGCTTTTGTGGTATGGTATGCTATCGTTCCTGCTGACATTCCTCGCCTCTGGCGATGTTTATCCAACGCCACCTACGTGCGTAAACGCGTCCACACGGGTGTGAGCGTTTGCATGCAAAAATTGTCCGTTTGCCAGCTTTCTCATGGTCACATCTATTGAATGCGATTTTGTATGTGTTTAAGCATGCGGTGGCACCACGATTGCTGCAGGGTTCCTATTGTTATGTTAGTGATTCCCCATAAATTCAACACAAATTTCCAATCCATACAAGAAAGCAGGACATTTTCCATTGCGTCAAAATAGCTCATTTTTGGTCTGCTTGGTATTAGATGTTGTTTACGTTCATTTGCCTATAAATTAATCTTGAAGGTCTAGTGGCGTCCTCTACTTCTCCTGGAAGACTATGTTAGTCCCTTTTTCCACTATATTCGTCTAAAGATTTCTTCTAACTATTTCGTCTCAATCGGAACAAAATTCGGTTCATTTTAAGGCCAAGTTACTCAAATATGGGTCGGTTGTTTTGACCACACGTGTCCTTTGCCGTTTACTTGTATTTTTGGAATGCAGTTACTACTTTAACCTTAGTCGACTAATCCATACGGTATTATTGTTAGTGGACTAGTGTCTCCACCCCTTATTGCCTATTCTTACTTTATTCTTGTCTAGATTCAGTTTGGCAGATTTTGCTTGGTTAAGAGCAATTAAGACTCACGTGCATTTGATCGAACAATGCGACTTAGTTCATCCAACTCTTCGCGCAACCCTAATTTTTAAAACGCTGCACAGTGCTGGGTTAATACGTGTCTGTGGAAGTCTTTCCTCACCATTCTGTGGATTGTTGATTGCTCTAACCTCCGTAATTTGTGCACATTCTGTTCTTTCCTGTTCTTAAAAACCACTGCCATTGTCGCCGCTGGTGTTGCCACCGCCATTGCATGCGTCCCTAGATCCTTACCTCACTACTCACCCGATGAATTTCGGCTTAGCATGGCTAGCTACCTTGGTTTGTCAATTAATCCTACTCATGCTAGTGGCTGGCCTTTCCTTTTCTTCTCTCACTTCTTGCCGTAGTGTCGTGTGCTTTACGAACTACTGCCACCGCCGTTGCTGCTGCTACTGCTGCCACTAGTTTTGAAGCAATATCCTTCCCACTGATCACGTGTGTGTGTGTGTATGTGCGCGTATGTGGCTCGTAACCTCACTCTTTCCCCAGTCTTCAAGCTTGCTCTTCCTACCACACTGAAATCCTTTCATTTTCTTTACGTTGTAACTGCGCAACTCGGCATGCTAGGGCTCCCCGGCACACTGCGAATTTGTCCATCTGCTTACCTTCACGTTCAAAATTCAAAGTTGATCTGTCGAGAATTTACTTTTACACCCATTTGCACGTTGCAGTTATTAGTAGTTGGATGCACCGGAATCAAAGCCCAATGTTATAGCGGAGGTAAAAATGCGTTTTTCATTTCTGGTACAATTGAGGGATACAAAATACTAATCCTGGTGCTTGTTAATTGCATCGTAAGGTTAGGATGGTGTCAATTATCACAACCTGTGTGAAAGATCACGCATGAATTAAAATCACGACCTTAAATAGACCAACTACCTCATATCAAATTCATAGCTGATAAAGCACTTTTCGTTGTTTCCGGTGTGCTAAAAGTCTATGTGTTAATGTTTAAGTGGTTTCCATGTCGTCGAGCGTGTTCTCCTCAAAACTAGTTTTAACAGTCAAATTTCGTCGGTGAATATCAGGATTTGGAAGGTATAGAGTGCGCAATACGGTGCTGGAACTGAAGCATTTTCTTCCATGTACTTTGTTCACTTTCCCCTTGAAAGTGTTTCACTGTATTATTTCATTAACAGTCCTGATTTCCGCACGGTGTACTTATTTACCACATACGGAAATGGCTATACGCTTACTTGAAATCCTTTGTACAAACTTATAATTTTTCAGCAGATCCAACAGTACAGCCTTTCACACTACCTTGTCATGCTGCATGATCCACACGCTAGTCAATGAAATTTGTGGTGTTTACACGCGCATACTTACGCTTCTACTTCTGACCGGTTGCATTGCATTTGAGTTTACATGAATGGATAGGTACTTGGATTCCTAATGTGAGGGTCTGTTTTCTTTACACGCCTTGACATAGAGTGTGCCAATCAATCAGTCGCTACCTGTAGAATCAAATCGGATCTCAGGGGGAACTGTCGGGGAAACTTCGTGTCAACTCTAATGCAGTAATCATTGCTTTTAACGGAAAGAGGTGGATTAGGTGTGGTGCCGCTGTTGTTTATGCTGTTTGCCATTGCGAGCACTTTGTGTTCCATAATATTTTGGCGCGTCTTCTCGCGCTAGCATGATTCACGTGGCGCGTACACACCTGCCATCATTCACCTAAGATCACTTGCACCAACATCTCCAACGCCTACTTATTTCCTCAACCATCCACCTCATAATAATAGTGATAATGATAATATCTTCACATTTCCACTCATCGTAGTGTTCTGCATCACCACCTCTCAATTCTTCCTCAATACTTATGTATCCTGGCCTCATTCCACTTTCCTTCCTCCCTCGCCCACCCACCTACACGTGCGCGCCCTCCCGCCTTCCGGTCCGCCTAGTTTTGTGAGTACGTACGTGTGTGTGTGTGCATCCACGGCTTTTGCCCGTGCTACTACACAGCCGTTGCTCGCCACATCCGACTCAATTCCCTTGCCACCGCCACGCGGTGGTCCCCTCCCCTTTCATCTGCGCCCCACCATCTCTGGTGCCCATTTTAGATCCTTCCCGGTGGGGCGTCTGCGACCACTTCACTCTTCCCGCCCGGTGGGCCGGTGAGCCCCGCAACCTACGCCGCCGCCGTCGCCGCAGTGAATGCCAGTCGACAAGCCGCAGCCATCCAGCCGCCGCCACCACCGTCATCACAACCGCCGATTTCAGTCTCAAGGAGCGGTGAGGATTTAGCTTCCTCAGCCTCTGGTCGCAAGCGTGAGGCTCCGGGTGATAAAGATGCTCAAACGGTAGGTGTTTTCTTGCGTGGTGGTGATCTTGCGTGATTCTCAAGTCCGTGTAATTGGTCGCACTGAAGTGCAGCATAATTGAGTTCTGCTTATCAAATTAAATGCGCATAGTGTTCGCATCCACGGCTGGTTTATCACTGTTGTTTGTGTTTTATTGTGCAAAGTTTATGGGTATTTTGCAACTCAGCATCGCTTAATTGACCAACCTCCGCTTAGCTAGTTGAGTAATTTGTCACAAAACTTCTCACAGAGCAAACAGGTGGTTTTAGAGGTCTCCATTGCCATTGGTACTTCACGCATCTAAACCCGACAAGCACAATAATCGAGTAAAGGGCATTTCTGCCATTGAAATGGTTGCTAACTTTGTAGGCATTTTACAGCTTGACTTTTCGAGCTAACTCAGCCTACCCTATCAGTCGCGTTCAGTACAAACCTTATGTGGCGTGGTTTTGACGTATTGTAGAACATGCCAACGAAGCGCATTCATACTACAAACGAAGATATCACAAATAGCAGCAGCACAGCCGTGAATCGTGCATCACAGGTTCCCACTCAGCCGCAGCTAGCGAGCACACTGGCATTTAACACTTGGCTGCAGCAGCAACAACAACAGCAGCACCAACTTTCTTCGCCGCCTCCACCTTCACTTCCGACGGCCACTTCCCCCACCGTTGCGCTGCAGGCAGCAGCCCTCATGCGTTTGCAACAACAACAGCAACAGCAATGGGCCGCCATGGCTGCCGGCTACGGATCACTCACCGGTTTCGCACCCAACTCGGCGGCAGCAGTCGCCGCCGCTGCTGCTGCCGCTGCCTACTCCAATCCCACCGCTCTCTTCGATCCGCGTGAGTCACTACCTCTGGTGTTTTTCAATAGCAGTTCCAAATTTTCCAATAGCATAGGGTGCTAGCGACACGTGAGTTTATAGCAGGCTATCGAAGTGGACATTACTATGGTGTGCTGCTTTACACCAGTGAGTGGTTGATCAAAGGACAAGCACGTGTGTGTGTGTGTGTGTGGATAGGTTAGCATTGCTAAAAATCCCAACGTTCATGATGTGATGGTCACACAAACTACATTAAGGAATGGCTGGCGGTGTCCCCCTTTTCACTTTTCCCGTAAGAACCTGGTTTATTTTATTATCTCTCCACATTTAGCAAACGCTAGCGGCATCCAGATAATTTCCATAAACTTGAGAGTTCTCTCGTAGTGCTGCTTGCGTTCGATTTAAGGTAGTTAGTCTACCTACTTGTCTACCAAATAGGTCGCACTGTACTTAAAATTTGTCCATGCACTCAATTTTTTTGGCTGGTATAGTGTGGATACACATCCCCTTTTCAGCTTGACTAGCTTAGAATAAGGCATCTTTAGAAATGTTTGTTGAGATGCTGTGGAAACCCAGCACCTTGTGATAACTAAAATGATATTTGTAGCGCACCAAACCGAAATACGTGATTTTCTTCTTATACTAAACTACAATCATGGCCTGCGATATGAGTAAACTGACTAGTAATTGAGAGACGTGTTGTGGTGTTTTCAAATCATTGAACGTAATTAACCGACGCTATTTTACGAAGAAATTACCACGCATGCTTGTTTAACGAATACTCTTTTCTGGGTTTGGTTTACTTTGTTTATTGAATTAGGGAAATGGTTCAGCGTTCCAGTTTACTTTCCGGTTTTTTCAATGATATAGTGACTTTCCAGTCGGCCAGCCTGACTGCCAACCCATACGCCTCGAATCTGCTGCAAAGCCAAACACTGCTCACCAATGTGGCCTACATTAACGATGAAGGGCAGGTTAGTTTTCTCTGAAAACCCAAACATTTTTGCTGAATTTACTACTGCTTGCTTGTGAATGCCAATCCATAGGGCTTATGAAGGAATCAGGAATTATTTATCGAGATATTTGGGTAATGTGCTGAATTCAAGGCAGTCTTTTGGTGACCTGTAGTCTGTGTCTACCCATTTTATTATTGGTATTTCTCTGATTTTCAGAAGTTTAGGAGTTACTGTTGAGATAACCTTCAATTGGGAGACCAGCCCTTTTACTTGGCTCAGCCTGATTGAACTACTTATTACTGCATAGGAAATCACGAACTTTCCGAGGTAAAGTAGGCTCCTCAAATCCCAAACGAGTAATAAATTAGTCTAAATTTTAACTACTGAACAAGTTAGTTGGACGGATGAGAATTTCAGTGTGACTTTTTGGCCTTGTTAACTAAAGTCAGAGTCGCTTACTCAAAAAACGACTTTCTGCAGATTCTTATCCACGCACCTATCAATCGGTGGCAAGCGGCTACCACAGTAGTGAATCACCTGATTTGGTGACTTCTTTTCACTTCAACATCCAACGTGCTGAACCACTTTGAAATACATTTGATTGGCAGAAGGTATTAGGTACTAGCACAAGAGCCTTGTCACGTTGACTCCTTTGGTAGCAAGCGCTGTTCTTCGTGACCTTTCCCTTAACGGTTGTTATAAATTGGCATAAACTGCAGGTGCCTTTTCTTCAACAGTCGAATTTTGAAATTGGTTGATTGTTGTTTGGCTTTGTGGGCCAGTGATGGTTCCACACTTCGCGAATGTATTCATCCAAACCTGATGTCTTTATAAAGGTGGTAATTGTTTTTACGCTCTATGGCGTGGTGAAATTATCAGTTGCTACAAACTGAGGTCATTGTACAATTGCGTGGCAGTCTGGTTTTGCATACTTTAGTGGTTTTTAACTTCGGAGTAGAGAATTTTTATGTTCACTCCCATTTTACATTAACTTTAATCTTTAGCTTCTCGAAAGTCTTCCAATCTGTCGCGATTTTAAAGCTGGGAAGTGTCACAGGAACACGGAGTGCCGTTACGTTCATCTCATCGATGGTGAGTCCCCCTCCGTCAATGTGGTCATTCTATTCGTTTCGATAGCTGCTTCTCGATGCCTCTTGGTGCGTCTGCGCACAATCCCTTTAAAACATTAGGGGAACGCCTTTACGCGCCGAGAATAGGATACTTGAGCCGATGAGTTAGTACACTGCATTCCCCCTTGACATCGCTTGGACTGGGTACCCAAGACGCTTTTTAAACGTTAACTCTCTGTTGCAAATCTCGAATGGCCCATAGTTTCACGGTTGGAATCACCTCAAATTCCCTTGTTTTAGGTATGTGTGAGCAGTGTGTCTTGGTTTGAATAGTGGGTTGAAATTCCTACGTTGTATATCCTCACTTTTTGTGTATTCGCACCAAGCGTGTAAGACGATTGTCGCTTGTTAGCTCATGTTCAGTTTGTTCTGAGGTAATGTTTCGGCTGGAATAGTTTTGGTGTTTTAAAGGCAGAATTTTATACATTGCTAAACTATGCAAGGTTCGTCTATTCTCCCGTATGTAGCGACTTGATTGTATCAATTGCAGAAAATGTCGAGGTCAACCAGGGTCGGGTGACCGTGTGTCGAGACGCTGCGAAAGGTCGGTGCACTCGGATTCCCTGCAAGTACTACCACATCCCACTTCTTGCTATCTCGGCCAGCCGTTCTCTAGCACTGAACTCGGCCCTCTCGGCCGCAGTAGCTGCAAATGCCTTCAACAGCACCGCTGCGGGCGCTGTCGCTGCCTCACCGGGAACGACAGCTGCCTCTTCATCGTCACTCACTAACGGAAGCTCCAACATCCCTCCTCCGCCCCACCCACCTTCCACTTCTACGTCACTATGATGGAGAGCCATTGACATCATCATCACTCGTCGATTTAATTTCGTCGACCAAGGGACTCAAATTTTTAATTTTTTGTAGTACATGAAGAGTATTTAAACACCTACGTAAATAGACATGAGTAAACATTATAGAAGGTGACGTTCAGTTTTGGGAGATTGGTGAGCCAGCTTTCTCTAATCTGGGTCATACCTGAAAATTGTCCAGAGTTGATGGCAAAACAGGCGACACTTAGCAGAACGCAAACATGGGGTATATCAGAGTCCGGTGCAGAGGTCCGCGCTTTTGTGCGTTACCTTACCATAGGATTCCAGCTGTTGTGTTGGGTGCATTTGAAAAAGCAAATGAACTAAGTTAGAATATCTCACCACCAAATAAGTGGAAGGTGAATGTTTAACCACGGCATAATCATATGGAAATTGTATGAGACTAGGCTTTTTTGTCCTAGTTACCGGTGCTCGGGCCATTCAGTGGATTTAACTTTACTCGGCGCTTTTATTACTAGCTTGAATTGTTCATCGCTCTAATCTCATGCTCTCCAAGATTTGGTGATTTTTTCACCGAACCATTTGCGCTAAGGCGTCGTCCCGTTCTGGAGCCCATTGGTTTCATTCGCCCATGGTGAACACTTTAAAAACCTTGGACGGTGTCATCATGTGGACTAATTTTGGGCACTTCTTCGTAGGATTATCTACTCTCATTTGCCTAGTTCTCTTATTTGTGTAATCTCGGATAAGCGGCCCTTTTCAAATCACCGTTTTGGCCATTACAGGTTGTGAGGTCAAAATTTTTTTCCGCCACGCTTTGGGTATATAAACTATGACCTCCACCCAATTGGGACAGTTTTGGTAATGTCATTGAAGAACAATAAAAGTGATGATAATGAATAGCCGATGGGTCGAATGTTTCAAAACCTTTGTGAGCATCAGTGTAGTTTGTGAGTGAGGAATGATGGGCGAGTGCCACTAATAATCGGACTTTGTAGCTTTAATAGTAGGCCATGTCAACCCTAGGAACCTGGAGGCAGAGGCTTTAGCCTCTCCTAAATTGTAGTGCAGTGAATGGTGTTAGGTTATGCGTCATTTTTGCAGGGCTTTTGTGAAGACGATACCTACCCCCTTCTGCACCCTTACTGTCAGATATTGACTCACAATATTATCGTGCTTTGGCAACACTATCAAAATTGTCACCGTGGTGGGGATTACCTGGGATTCAACTTCGTCAACTAGCTACTCATCGTCATCTCAATGCGCTGGTGGCTCTGCTAAGTAATTCGTCAGCCGTTATAGAGCCATTTGATACACCATTGAGGCAAGATACTCAAATAAATTGATTCAATACCGAAACCGATAGGAATTTCGGGTAATCACTTCTTAACAGGGAGGGTTTATGGACGGAGACAGTTTGGATAGCGGGCTTAGGTAACTATCTCCCAATTAGCGGAATAGCATCTAACGTTTGGCCACTCAACCTGCATTTTCCACTGCGACCGAAGTTTGGGTGGATTCTGCCAGGATTCTCATCCCCTTAAGCAGGGCTGACAGTAGCCTCTGGGTTTCAAATCAATAGATTCTTTTTTTTTTCAAATGGTAAATGCTCTGTGTTGGGAATGCCTGCGACCTTGAGAAACATTCCTATTTCAATTATCTAGACATTTCTATGTTAATGGGTAAGTCCCAGATATCGTAGAAAGTTGCGCTTGCCATTGTTTTCCTCTTAATGCGCTGGTACTACGTTTGGATGCACCTTAAATGTGCTAATGCTCACTACAAAGTCACTTGAATGTTGTAAATAGGCGAGAATGAAATCCCTTAATCTCAGCATCGTCCATTAGTCGGCCAACTGTCACGTATGCATGCATATTATCACCTTGCTTACTAATGTTCGCTGACAAGTAGAGACATCTGTATCGAAGTTTTGTCTACTGTTCCGCTTGGTAGCTGAATAGAATCCGAGCTCACGCTCATTAACACTAGTTCATGGCGCTATGGCCCTGGTTTCTCTTGTTTATTACCTCACTTCTGTTTCCTCCCCACGTCGATCAAAAATACATTTAATCACTGCAGTGTTGGTGATTACTAGGGTAGTAGTAGATTACCACTTTAAGAAAACTGCATGAAAAGATGCAAATCAATTTTCTGCTTAGAATTAGTTCACTCTTTGGATCGCAATGATGTTCACACTAAGGAGCTTCGAAATCGTTAATGATACGGCTTCATTATCATCCATCTTTATGACCGCGAAATATTAATGTCCTGTGAACACATCAAACGAAGTTTATGGTTAATACTGACTAACTTTATGGAACACCAACCATTTAAAAGTGTAGCAATTTCACTGTTCGCGCACATGTGTTGCATAACCAACTTGCTATTCGCTTCTAATCGGCTCACAGAGATTGGTTAGGGGAAGAGGTCTATCGAACTGAACCAATGTAAATCTTAGATACCACATGAGCCCCAGAAGAAAGGTTTGAAGCCATCTTCATCCATGAATAGCATCAGTCGTGTTTACGCAAGGCACAGTGGCTAACCTCTGAGGGCAATTAACGACCTAAATGCCAATCTCTAACGCAACCCTGTTCACTCTGCATTTTTAACTTTGATATGATTTAGTTCTCTTACCTCCTTATTGTCACTAAATTTTCACCAAGAGGGCTATTAAGATTCGCAGTAAAATTCTCTGCTTCACGTTGTATTCCCACTCTGCACTGATTGGTGCAAAATGTGGAATACAATCTGGTGTGAGTGATGTAGAAGTTTTGAATGGGAATTTTTAGTGGATCATCTACCAAATAGCAAGACATT